TTAGATTAACAATGTGTTATGGTTGTAGGACGGTGGCAAGACGGTATGTTAAGAGTGAGAAACGTTGCTTAGATAAGGCTTGATTATACAGAGCCTTGAAAAGCAACTTTGACTGGAAAGCATGTTTTGTTTTGTTTTTAACTTTCAGAAAAGAAACATGAAAACAGCATTTAAGAAAGAGACAACAGCATGAAGGCTGGCCCATAAGGAAAACAGCTGAAAGGTTGTTGCAGTAACTCTGGCATGAGTTGTTACCAAACTATCTTAGTTCATTTGGGTTGCTATAATGACAACAGATAGGGCGGCTTAAATAAAAGAAATTTTTTATCACAGTTCTGAAGGTTTGGAAGCCTTGAGAACATCAGGCTACCGGCATGGTTGGGTTCAAGTGATGCCTTTTTTCTTGATCGGTTTCTTCTTGTGGTCTTCTTGCTCTGTCCTCTCACATAGGTAACCACAGAGTACCTAAAGAACTTTTGCTGGGCATAGTGGCACACACCTGTAATCTCAACACTTGGGAGGCTGAGGCAGGAGGATCACTGGGATCAGCGTAGGGTCAGTCTCAACTACATAGTGAGACCCTGTCTCAAAAAAAAAATTTATAAACTGAGGGCAAACTGGGTGTGGTGGCACAGGCCTATAATCTCACCACTCTGTGAGGATGAGGCAGGAGGTTCGAAAGAGCCTCACAAGCACAAGGTCCTGAGTTTGATCCCCAGTACAAGAAAAAATATTTATCTATTTGTTTATCTGTTTACTTTTTTCTTTTTTAAGTTTTTTGAGACAAGATCTTGTTATGTAGCTCAAGCTGTCCTTGGATTTGCTTTGTAGCCCAGGCTGGCCTTGAACACATGGTAATCTTATTACCTCAGCCTCTCAAGTGCTAAGATTGTGGACAGGTGTCACTACTCCTAGCTAAGGATTTTAGAAGGAAGGAGGGCACAAGCGTTAAGTCCATGATACAGGATTCAGGAAGAAGGGCCACTATGGAGCAAAAGAAATAAGTATAAGGAATATTGTACAAGAAATATCAATTATACTGTAGACTGCTAAGGTAGATAAGCAGAGCTTAAGGACTAGATTGTCAGGCTTGACAGACTGAGAAAATGGTAGCATCACTTGTGTATAGAAAGGCTGAAACAGGAAGCCAGTTTGGAAATAAAGGATGATTTGTATCTCAAATTAAATGTAAATGTCTAGGAAACATAGGAAAATGTAGTAACAGCTTCTGTTGAGCATATATTGTTTAATAAAATGCTTGGGTTATCTCACTCCTTGTCACAACTCTGTGATAATGCTGTTATAGTAAGAGGATAATACAGATTTAGAAATTGATGAGATCCTGAATATGAATTATTTTTTCAAAGTTATTTGAAGGGCATGACTTAATGGGAGTCAGATGATTAAGACTTAAATTACAACAAATGATAAGACGATATGGAAGTCAAAGAAGAAACAGGAAAAAACCAAGATAGTCTAATTCTTTTCTGTTATAGTCTATATAATCTGCCTTGTCTAGATATTAATTTCGGATTCCTGAATGCTGTGAAGATAACATCCACCATTTTAGATAAGAAATCAGCCTCAAAAGTTTATAGTTGCCTGGCCAACCTCACACAATCAGTAAGGGGCAGGATCAGTATATACACATATCTCCTAATGCCAAATAAAAACGTTCTTTCCATTACAGATAAGAAGAGCAAAATTTAAAACAAAAGTACTTCACATATAACAAAAAGGTCAGGAGAGTTCCACATGCCCCTTTAGTCCCAGGTGCTACAGAGGCTTTTGGGAAGATCTAGCGTAGCTAGACTCTGTATATGTATGTACACATACATACATACATGTACATGGCTAGCTTAGGGTAACTCAGTGGTAGACTGCTTACTGCTTGCCTAGCATGCACATGATCCTCAATTCACTCCCTAGCACAACTAAAAAAGGGAGTGGGTGGTCTATGGGGTGAGATGATTTAATTGAACTGCCACTTAATTTGGCAATTTCATGTCATAAGGGAACAGTTCTTTTCCATGTAATGATTGAAACTAGAGACAACAACCTCTATAGGTGTGGACTTCTCATCTGAGGATACGAGAAAAATCTAGAAATCTTGGCCTTTCTGAATTTTGGAATGAGACCCCTACATTAAAATGCCATCCTAGAAAAATCTGTGCTCACAAAGATAAAAAATGAGAAAAACTTGTCTGTTTCTCCTTAAGTTTAAAGTTTAAGAAAAAAATTTTTGAAAAATAGGATGTCCCCACTGCCCTGTGCAATTGAGATTTCAATGTTAGGTGAAGTATGTTCCCATGGTCTGGGAATCCCTGGTGAAAAATTAATGTCTTTGGGGCACAAGTTCATAATCTACAAAGACCATTCCCCTCCTCCACGTCATGTTTAACTGTCTCACAGAACAATCTGTACCTACTGAAAATGGGCAGATGTTTTGGGAGGAGCAATATTATCCAGGAGCAACAAAGAATGGGAAGATTAGAAATCTAAGGACTCATAATAATAAAACAACTCTGAAGGAAAACAGAAAACTGTATATTGAAAGAATGAAAACCCCAAGAAAAATAAAATAGTGTTAGTCCATTTTATGCTGCTATAATGGAATGCCTAAGACTAGATAATTTATAACGAACAGAATTCACAGTTCTGGAGAATGGCAAGTCCAAGTGTATGGGGCTGACATGTGGCAAAGGCCTTGTTACAGCATGGTGGAAGGCATCACATGCTAAGAAAGCACCAGAGAACAAGAGGAGGCTGAACTCACTTTTATAGCAAACCTGCTCTCAGTAACCTATTTCCAGGATAAAGACAATAATACATTCATGAAGGTTCTGCCCTCATGAATGCACTGCCTCTAAGGGTTCCACCTCTCAGCAATGCTGCAGTGGGGATTGTTTCCAATACATAAACTTTGAGAAAAAAATTTACAGATGAAAAAAGAAAATGTAGTATTTACACACAATAGAATACTACTGTGCCATAAAAAAGGATAAGTTTGAGTCGTTTGTAAAAAAGTGAATGTACCTTGAGGCCATGATGTTAAATGAAATAAATCCAATACACAAGCTTAAATATTGCCTGGTTTCTCTTTTATGAGAAGCCCAAATTATAACTAAAGAGATAATAAAAGATAGATAACAGGAAATAGAACTTTCTCATATGAAAAAGGGATCAAGAGATGGAAAGGAGGTGAAAAAAAGAATTAAGATGTTTCATGTACGTGTACCCGCTCCACACAAGGAATGTAAAAATTATGTAGTGAAAACATGTACTAAAAAAATAAAAATAAATAAAATCACACACAAAAAAAGCCCAAACTTTGGAGCGCGCATTCAAACCAAAACAGGGTAGGATGATCAAAAGTTCCAGGCTGACCTGGGCAAGGACCTGAGCAGGACCCTGTCCAAAAGAGTGCTAGGCTATTGCTCAGCAGTAAGACACTCCTGGATTCAGTACTCATTACCCTGGGGGATTTGGGTAGAGGCCCCTGTGTGTGCAATAGCAACTCCAGAGCTGGTTGTAACTCAAGTTATTTTTTAAGTCAAGACTTTTCCCCATAAGAAACAGTGGAAATACCCATAATGCCTTCCCAACCTCCCAAAGCACTCCTTAACTAACCTTTTCACAGTAAAAAAGCATTGTATAATGTGCTTCATTTACCAGAAACACCAATAATTTTCCTAGTGTGTCCAACAAAGTTATAAAGTGTGCCTCGTTTACCAGAAACAACAATTTCATAGTGTACTCACCATTCAAGTTGACATCTTCGGCTTGCAGGAAGGGAGATGAAATGGAAGGTGGTGACTGTTCAGGAGGAGAGTCCCCTTCCAGGAGAACATCAGGAATCTGGCTCTCTGGTGTCCTTTCCTTGGGAGACGATGTAGTCCCCTAGGACCTGCTTCTGTCTCACTAGGTCTCGGTCTTTTCAGAAGTAAAAGCAGGTCTATGGCTGTCTGTTTTCTCTTTTCTGTCACACTGTTCTGTACTACGACAGAACATTGTCATTAAGGAAATGCAGTGGTTGGCTTTGTCTCTGCCTGGGTGTGTCTTCTCTACTAACGTCTGTAGCTGTGCCCATTTTTTCAGGCTTTCCTCTCTTTCAGAAGAAGAGCTTTGCTGCCCTGCCTGTTGATGCTCCCCCTCCTCTTCAGAAAGCTCCTCGGCTGCCATTCTCTGATGCTCAGCCAGGAGTTGCTGAAGTTTCTCTGTGGACAGCTCCTCTGAGTGTTTCTCCGCCAGTTCCTGAACATCACCACTGTGTACCTGCAAGCCCGCGGACTCTGCTACAGTGACAGGGTCAACTGAATGCCCAGGCTCCTCTGCACAGCTTTCGAGATCTCTCTCCTACATAATTTTAGGCCACACTTTCTCCAGGTAGATCTCAGTGTCCTTAGTGAGGCACTGGCCCAGGATTTCTCAATTAACCCACAGAGGAAAGACTGACTCTTGGGTTGTAACTCAAGACTTTGGTGGTAAGTTAAAACAAATTCTGGTTGTAACCCAAGTTGTTTGGGAGATCGGTTGTAATTTGAGGGTCCACTGTATATTTATCTAAGGTGAAGCCCAGGAGTAAATAAGATTTTCCTAATTCTATCCTATAGTCAGTGTCAAACTACACTTCATAGATAATAGAATTAGCAAAACTGCATTTAATAAGTATATGCCATAAGCAAAAGATATTTTTCCTGTCCTCTAGAATAAATAAAAGCAAACATGAATTTGATTTTTTCTGAGGAGGGTACTGGGGATTGAGCCCAGAGCTTTATGAATGCTAGGCAAGCACTGTACCACAGAGCAATAGCCCATCCTTTCCTTCAGACAGGGTCTCATCCAGTTTCCCAGGCTGGGGTCAAACTTGCAATCCTTTTTCATCAGCCCCTTGAAGAGCTGAGATTACAGGTGCACACCACTATGCCCAGCTTCTTTCATCTTTTAATATACTACCACCTGTTTGCCGAACATTATTTGTTAGAGAAATACAGACATACCTCAGTGGTACTGTGGATTCAGTTCCAGATCCATGCAATAAAGTGAGTCAGATGAATTTCTGGGGTTTTCCAGTCATATAAAAGTCATGCTTATATTATACGGTAGCCTATTAAGTGCAAAATACATTATCAAAATGCATTATTGCTAAAAAAACCGGTAATGATTATCTGAGCTTTCACCATATGCTGTTGCTAAGTGGCACTGCTAAGACTTACTCCAACAGATTGTCACAAATCTCCATTTGTAAAAAAAAAAGCATTATCTGGGCCAGGGATTTAGCTCTTGTTTCTGTTGCCTACTGCAAGCACAAGTTCCCAAGTTTGATCCTCAGTACCAAAAAAAAAAAAAAAAAAAAAAAAAAACATTATCTTAAAAAAAAAGGAAAAAGAGAT